GAAGGGGGACGGAGGTATGATGATGGGGAGGATGAAACCACAACAGACAGGGAAGCCGAGCCTCCAGCCTGGCCACACACCCTCGTTTCATCAATGAGCAATCAGATAGCATACTTCCATTTGAAAACATTATACATCTCAAATGTAATTAAGAAATTTAGACTGGCATGAATATGTAATGTACACATTGCTCTGCAGATGCCTTTCCCGTCCGACAGGCTGGTGCCGACTTTAATTTGGAAGAAATCCATTTTCATACAAAGGTAACCAAGAGTGACAGGAAATAGGAAGCCTACATCATTTATCTTCTGTGAACTTAGGGGAAAAAAATCAGTTAATTGCTTTTCTAGGAAGCTATTTTGTGGAATCACAGTGCTCTATCTTTCTGCTCATATTCATGGTATAAATGGTGATTTTTAAATGCCCGGTGTAAATATGCTGATTAATCAATACACCTTAAACTATTTAATTACTTATTTTAACAAATAAAACTCTGATCAACCAAAAAACAGCTTCGCTGTTCTTGTGGATTAATTATCAACCACTACGAAAACTCCTAATATACATACAGTCTATTAATTGATACTCAAATTCACTTGTCTCCTTCCTTATCACTGACTAAACTAAGAGCAGCAGGCCCTGCTTTCCTCCCTTCCTTCCCTGGCTTTTCAGATCTGTTCTATTCTCAGCCATCAGAGCCCCTCTGCAAGAGCCATCTTAAATCATTGCTACTTATTAAATTAATAACAAACAGAAACTAAAATGGGTTATGTTTTGGAGTACCACTGAAGCTGAAACTTGCCAAACAAACTGACTTCATGGCCCATAAGACCCATATTCCCATATTTTGTCTCAACAGCACTGTCTATTGGGCCTTTTCTACAGGATTGTCCCATTTCTGCCTTCCTATATCACCTAGCATATACATACGTATTTTTAAGTTTGGGGCCAATATAAAGCACTCTTTTCAAATCTAAAATTATCATTTCAATAACAATTTCTTATTATTCCATAAGCCAAAGACAGATATGGCATGGAGTTAATGATGCATGAGCTCCAGGGCCTCTTAAGCGAAGATTCCTCTAAGGCCTCAGGAGGGGCTCTAGCAATGAGTTAATACTTGTTTTTGAAAAAATTTCAAGTATAAGATAATTTTCTACTCCTTTTTTCCTGAAGAAAACCCCCAAGATGGTATACGTTTTAGGTCCCACAAAACTTGTATCTGCCCCACTAGGTTAATGGTCCCCAGTGCCTGGATCTTGAATGACATGTTAAGGGCAAAACATTTATTTTGTGTGTGTATGTGAAACAAAAAATAATTTGCTTCAACTGGAAATAAGATTTAGTGTTCCTTACCCTAGAATGTTCTAGAATGCATCTGCAGTCATTTCTTATGTCTCTATCTCACACCTAGCACTAGTCACCCTTCCGACTGGCACTCCAGGGAAGGCTCACTTAATGAGGGATGGCATCAAGAATAAAAAACTCAGCTATAATAACAGAAATGTGTTTTTCATTAAACACAAAACTGAGCTGGGAAAAACCAGCCAGGAGACAGGTGTATCAGTTAAAGAACTCCCTTGAGGTCTTTAACTTCCACACCAAATTGCACTGAATTTTTCCACACTAATTACCTATTATTGAAGACTAAAGAATTATAACAAATAATTCACCATGGCAGCAGATAGAGTGCAGATGTTGTAAGAAAAAGAATGAAGAACTTATGAAGTATAAAATCAGGCAAAAGAGATTCACAAAGTCTCGATTTTTTAAAATAACAAAGATTTTTCTACTATAAGGATTATGAAGGTGAGGAAATTTTCTAGGACTAGGAGGCCAATTTTTTAAATTTAGTTTGGACTGCACGTGAGAGAAACTGTATATTAAAAGCTAAGTGCTAGAGTCTAATTTATTTAATTCATGTAAAATTTCTTGCAGGCAGAGATCACGTCTTAGTTTTTTTTTTAAATTTCTCCTATCACATTGCATCTAGTCATTGATTTGATTTCTTATGAGTACTGTACCTCCACAATACCATATGCAGCTATATTTGCATCTGCCTTGTCTTTACATCATTTTTACCTAACACTTCCTTCTAGCCCCCAAATCCTTCACATTGGCATAAATCTTGCTCTATAGCCAATGTCCTGAGAAACTATAATCAAGTCATACAAAAGTTCCTTTAGTTCACAGCCTCTATAAAATTCCCTACCTCACTGGAAATTAATGTCAGTACTACCAATGTCAGTACTATCAGGACATTTTCATCTAGGTACTATCTGTGTTTAAAAAAAAAAATAGTAAAAATAATAAAATAATAATAAAATTAATAGTTCTTGTTTGCCACGTTTGTTTTATTCTCTCCAAAAAAAATAAAAGCAAATGTACCCTCAAAAAGTAAAACCTGATTAGCCAATAAAATTCTTCAGTTTCTCTGCTATGACTGTGGATTTTATAGGGATGCCCTATAAACATCGAGTGACATACCTGCAAAAGATCTTTTTTAATCTCTTGGAGTACTGTAAAACAAACAAGCAAACAAAAAAACTCTTTGAGGGGCGCCTGGGTGGCTCAGTGGGTTAAAGCCTCTGCCTTCGGCTGGGGTCATGATCCTGGGGTCCTGGGATCGAGCCTCACATCGGGCTCTCTGCTCAGTGGGGAGCCTGCTTCCTCCTCTCTCTGCCTGCCTCTCTGCCTACTTGTGATCTCTCCCTGTCAAATAAAAATAAAATCTTAAAACAAAAACAAAAACAAAAAACAAACTCTTTGAGTCTGAAGGATAGGAAATATAACTTATAGATACTATCCTGCTGCTAACTGGGAAAGAGTCATTTTCTTATTATTAATAAACTAGACAGCAACACACAAGTGCTGCAAAATTCACATTATCATATTTTCCATAATATGCAGTTTTTTGCTAAAATAAGGACTGTATTATCTCCCCTACAACAAAAACACCAAGAAAACAAAACAGAACAAAAAGCAGATCCACCAATTAAAACTTAGTTCTGCAAGCAACACTTCTTACCTCTTTTCTATCAATGCATGATTGGCCTCTTTAACGTATTCAGTATAAAATGTTAGGAAAGAAGCAAGTGGACAGGCTCAATGTCATTACATGGGGGAAATGAAACACTTCCTGTATAAAAGCTCTAATTTTTCTTGGTATGACTTTCTATCTCAGGCATTTCCCTCTTTCTGTGATTACCGAACCGTAGTACAATGTGTCATTCCCAATCTGAGGTCTTGGAAGGGCGTCCTGAAAGTGTCCATGTTATTAATGACTTACCCAAAAGCCTAATGAAAACTGTACTGTTACCTGCATAAGGCTGTACTGGTTATCAAAAACTGGCTTTTAACCAGGGCTTTATCAACTCATTGGGTTATAAAGTAAATAAATGAATTACTACCTAATAAATTTGAAGTTTCTCTGGCACATAAAAATCATTTTAACAAGGAATCAATTGGGATTAAAATTATAATGGATTCCTGGTAGTTACAGTCACCTCTGTTCAAGGATAAGCCTCATTTTATTTGCCAGGTCATTTGATGATGATAACACAAATCAAAGGGCCTGATAAATTTAGTTTTATAAGGGGATATTAATACGTGTTTCCCACAAACTTTTCCAACCATAAATGCTTGCAGAAGTTATATGCTGCTTCTATTAATTCCTAGGAATACTTTATGGGATCCATCATAAATGAATGATCAAAAGGAGTTACTGATACACATGTCACTTAATTTCCTCATTAGAACCTGTGTAAACATCTCAGAATTAAAAAAAAGATATCTTCTCTAAGGGCAATATGTTGATCTCCCAATTGGTGCACGGTGCTTTCTGAGGTGAGAGCTCAGCTCATAAATTATTAAGTTCAGCCTTGTCAGACTCCAACAAGAAACATCAAGTCATTTGTGTTTTTATTTGGTCATTAAACCAAATTAAGATACAAAGAATATGCTAGCCACAGTGTTATTCCATCTTTAAAACTGAGTATGTCAAAAAGGAAAAAGAAACTGAATGGTTCCTAAGTCCAATGCTCTAGAATTCACATTTTATGTTGGTTAGTATACCACATCACAGCAAAACAAACAAACAAAAAATGTGCACGTATGCTTTTTCATATGCTCTTGACAAGTGCCATCAATTTGGAATATAGGAGGAAATATGCTTCTCTAAAACAAGACTTCATTTTCCATCCAGATTTACTGTTCAAGTAGACTAGACTCTTTGCTTCCTCTGTGATTATGTGATTTGCCTTTTTGAGTTCTCATATTCCACACATCTAGTCTACACATTTTGTAATGCAATAAATAAATACTTCAGATTAAATTTAAGATGCAAGAATCTGAACTAGAAGATTTCACTCTCTTCATATAACCTAAGATTATTTTCACAGGACAAGGCGAGTCCTTACTCGATTAACATCAATTAACCTGAATTTTAGGTATTACAATATGGATCAGACATCTGATACATTTGACTATACATTGACATATTCAATACTGAGTCATTTAATAATTACTTTAAAAATCATTATAAGGTTTCCTTTATGTCTTGGAACATTTCAAAAGTGACAAAAATGTTGAACTTCTGAACTCTTTTACATAAAAATTAACCTCTTTTTTACAATACTTCTACTCTTAATATATAATATCCATGTCGACACTGACCCATTCACACACACACACACACACACACACACACACACACACACACAAAATCCCTTGAACTGTATTGAAGGAAATTCCTTCCCGGATGAACACAGACACATAACCACATATGTTGGAACTTAAAAAAAAAAATGGTGATAATCAATTTGAGATTTTAAAAAATCATTATTTATGTGTATAACCTCCTTTAGCAATGGCTACAAATCCTACCACATGAAGTCGTTCACACACTGAAAATTAAGAAACATGGGCACTGGATTTATAACTGCCGGGTCGTCACTGAGATCTACTCAGATGTATGTAGGTGGCATTGACAAAAGACTCACCTCTCCTTGTTTGGGGATGCTGAACTTGGAAAGCTTGGCCTTGGCTCTGGCGGACTCTGGCTTGGTGGCTGGGACTCCCCTGTACGACGTGCAGTGCACACTGGTTTCTGTGGATGATTTAAGTTTTGGAGACTCATCAGGAGCCTGATCTTGGCCGTCCATCGGCCGCACATATGCGGTGGGTTTCTGCTGGACCAGACTGGGTTTTGAAGCCAGGGATGGAGGAAAGTTCTGAACACAGTGTCCGCTGCTGCTGTGCTTGGCTGCCATAGCAGGTGGCCTTTCATGGGTCTGAAGACCCACCTCTACATTGCACACTTGTTTGGCTCGTGGCTGCTGTCTGCCAACACCATCTCCAAGCAAGGTCCTGAGAGAGCCTTGTTGTGCTGAGTTGGAAGAAGAAGAAGAGGAAGAAGAAGAGGAAGAAGAAGAGGAAGATGAGGATGAGGGGCTCGACACAGACTGGTTAGGTTTTTTATTATGGTTCTTTGGGTTAGCAGATCTGTTCAAATCAAGCAATCTGTGTCCGTGCTTACTTGCTCTCTGTTGGCCATCCGATGGCGGGTGCCCAGCCTTCTGCCAGCCCATGGTGCCCCTCTTACTCTGCTGCGTGGGGACAGCTGCTGGTGTGGAAGAAGCTGTGCTACAGACAGATGAGGGCTGGGTCTGGGCTCTTGAATCTGCAACAAAATGTTCATCGATCTTGTTCACAGGAGCCTGAGGAACCCCAGGTTTGGGAACACCCACGAGATGACTCTGATTAGATCTATCAGTTAAAAAGTCTTTCATTTCATCGTAATTGCCTAAAGTGTTCTGGATCCGGTTGGAGAGCTCATCCCCCTTGTTTGTCTGGAGAAAGAAAAACACAACAAGCACCCTGTTGTTAGAGAGATGAGAAACACAGGAGACCACGGGGAGGTGCCTTGATGGCTCACAGAGTCAGGGCTGTCACACTCAGAATGAGAGCTGGGAGATAAAATCAAAGTCGTCCTCTCCGAAGTCTGTCCACACTGCATCGCACCAGGACCAGGAAGCCGTTAGGAGCCTCAGACTGCATCAAAAGGGAACCTACCCACGGTGGTGTGATGCCACTACGTTAATCAGGGAAACAACCACCGCAGCTTTGCAAAACTGTCAGGATTGAGGCTTTCCAGGATTGGGGTTTCTTCTCTTTTTTATAGTCCCTTTGGAAGCTTTTCTTGAAAATTCAAATTTGGCTCAAAGTGTTCTGCTGACAATTTCTAAATATATAATGATTCTTGCCAGAAACCCAGAGGGATAGGCAGAAGAAGTCAGCATACAGCTTAAAATGCACACGGGGCTTGATGTGCAAGGAGGCACCTGCCTAAACTACCCAAGGTTCTGTGCAGGCCTCAGTGAAATCTCAGGCCTTTTGCTTTGGGAGACAGCTTGTATCTCTGGCCTTTGGTGTAAGTGAGAAACAATCCAGCAGTTATTTTCTCATTACCCCATCAGGTAGCCTGACCGCAGCATGACCCATGTGTGGCAAATAGGTTACCCAACCTCTTTTTATTTCCCAATAGCTTAGATTAAAAAAAAAAAAAAATTACAAGTGGCATTGACTTTGAAAATCAATGTAGAAATGAAGTCTATACTATGGATAAAAATCACATCAAGCAGCTCTCATTATTAAGCAAAAGCTACTTTTTACTGAAGGAACAGGCAGTCAAGTTGTGTGACCTGGACGCCAAGATTTGTGGGAGAAGATCTCATTCTGAGTGGCTGAGCTGCCTTCCTGGGCTGACCAGGCTGAAAAGCAACTGAAGTTTGGTTGGGCGACTCTTCCAGGAGAGACTGCCACCACAGGAGTGAGGTACAAGTGAGGGAGAAGATGAACGACTGAAAACCATCTACCTTGTAAGGTTCACTAAAGAGGGAGTAACTCGAATTAAACGTGCCATCATCTTGCTGAGTTTCCTGATTTCTTCTTTCTCGTTCTTTCCTCCGTAACACATTTCTGTCTGGTTCATAGACACTGCATCAGGAGAAAGAAAAGAGAACAATCACATAGGAAAAAGTTAAAGGCTAAAGCCCAGTGGAACATTCACCTGAGCGCAGAAGTCTGGGTCATGGACAAATGGCCGTGATAGGGAGAACAAGGATCAGATTAGAGCCAGCATAATCAAGCAGTAGGAGCTTGGGTGTCTGATAATTACATTCTTCAGGAGCAAAAAAAAAATCCTTAGGGCAAGTTCCAACCAGTACTAGACCTCTCTGCCTGATATGTAAGACAGGAAATATCTAAGCAACTTTGACAAGAGAAGACTGAAAGTAATCTTAAGGCAGACGGTAATTACAGCAATGTGTAAATAGAAATTACGAGCATATTTTCCCCTTATGACAAAGCCTCTGAGTGTTATATGGGAATGCTCCTGCTCTTGTCTTTCTTTCTTTTTTTTTTTCTTTTGCATGGCTGTTTCTGTAGTGATTCTTTCATTAACTAGCTCCCTAAAGAGCTGTTAAAACTCCATGCTGCAATGGTTTTCACAGTTATGAGCCTTCTTCTGATCTCTGTTAATCAGTCAAGTCGTCAAACTACTACTGAATCAATTCTTCCTTCTGATATATTTGACACTATCACTCCTCCTAACTATGAAAAATGTGCCAGGAGGAAGGGGTGCAGGCAACGCAGGGAGAGAACGGAAATTGAATTATGGTGTGTCATCAAGGATCTCAGCCTTTTTGTTAAAGAAAATTAATATCTATTCTCCCAAAATACAATTATGAAGTGACCAGACACCAGATAACTGGGAGGACTAAGAGAGAAATAATGTTCCTTCCCCCTCATAAGGAGAAAATAAAAGGGCTAATTCAACTAATAATAAGGAAGTGACCCGTTTACTAAAGGAAGGAAATACACTTGTTTTTTCAGCTCAGTATATAAAGAAATCTGGCTTCAGTGGAGAACTGACATGTCCCTCAGAATGAGCATTGTCTTCATTTCCTAGCAGAAGCATTTGGTTTAAGTGACCTTGTTTTGCTTTGAGCTCCCACCTGGTCTACTGTAGAGACACCTGAGCTGGGAGGTAGGACAGCTGCCTACTGACTGTGATTCTCCCATACCAGCAACATGATGATGGAAAAGCCACACCATCTCTCTGCACCCCAGTGTCTTCATTATAAAACAGGGATGTTTAATGGCATTGTAAGGTTTAAACATGAAGGTAATCTACAAAATGGCTTTGGAAGAGCTATAGGTGCCCAAACTCCAATGTATTGCTTTTAAATGTTGTTAATAATGAAAGGAGCTGTGGGTTCACCAAAACATATGAAAAGAGTGAGATTCTGTTTCATCTTGTTTTGTTTTAGCTAAATTGCTATCTCGAGTACAAGAGAGGAGAGCATGTCATGTAGCTGTAGAGGACACAAATAAAATGATCATAAAACAAATACTGCTTATCCTTCTAGCTCTGCCCGGGTGGACAGAATATACTTTAAACTCGCTAAGGGGCAATGCTAAATGCACTTCCAGTGAGGCTGTGAGAACACCTAAGGCATTTAATTTAAATTTAAGATTAGGGAATGTTAAAATACCCAGAACATGTCACCTATTAGCATTTTAATTCATCTTTAGTACATTACCCAAAGTTATTAGATTGGGGAATCCAACCAGTGACCTTGACATAAACGGAGGCTGCAGCCACAGCCTTACCAATTGAGAGGCTCACAGCTCCAACATCGCCATCACTACGAACTCTCTGGGTGGCTATGGTGATGGCAACTGGCAGAAGGGAGGCAGAAAATGAAAACGACACTCTTATTCCCAGAACCAGTCTTCCAGTTCAAAGAAGAGGCTAAATGAAGAGGCTAAAAGAAGAGGCTAAAACGGTCCTGCTCTGCTTGTGGACATTTGCAGTATGAAACCCCAGATCTTTCACGAACATTCCATGGATTTCAAATGGAGACCGCTCTGACGACACACGACTCATGCTGTGGATGGGCATGAAGTGAGCTTTAACCAAGAAGTGGATTCGAGTTTTAGTATGAACTTGTTCCCTTTGGGGCCAATACCAGCATCTGCAGTCAGAAAAACAAGCTTGCATTGCATGCATTGCCTTTCTTCCCCTCTCCGACACGTGCGGACATCTGGGAAGAACCTAGTGTGCAGAACTCCATGCACAGAGATTTCCACAAACATGCTCGCTGTCCTCGGGCAAGTCAAACCAACCATACACACGAGACTGGTGTGATGCGTGAAGTGGCCTTATGTGACATGGAGCAGGCAGGTGGTCATTAAGGATGATTGCAGGACTTCTGAGAGGTCCCCATGCCCAAAATAGTACCTCCTGCATCTGCTGGCTGATGACTGAAATTCCACAACTAGAGAGTCATTCCTCTGGTTTAAGATGTCTTCACCCCTGAAAGAAATGTAGACACCACAAGAAGGGGAAACACTTTAACCTGATCAGCCCTTGGTATCTGAACATGCATGAGCTTGTCAGCACTTCTGCCAAAGGCCAAGGGGAAAGGCATAGGACATCAGGGTCCAAACAAGGTCCAAATAGGAGGTGTAACAGAAAAAGGAGGAACCATGTAGAGTTTGGCAATGAAAACAAATTCATAAACTCTACCTACTTCACCCCGTGGGTTAGATGTTTAGCATTAGACTAAAAGCCATAATCAATTAGGCAGCTATCAGACTTGCTACACTTTCAAGGTCAGGTTACAGTAAGAATCACTTCAAAATATGGGGAAGCTGGAGGTGAAAGGAAAGGGGCTCTTCTTTAGTTAAATCTGCCTCATTCCCCAATCCACTTAAAGGTAACCAAAAGCACTCCAAGATACACACCCCTGCTCTCCAACGAGGCTCTGCCTGCGCACCCAGACTATAGCTTCTCATACTAAGAAGGACTGAACAACCCCAGGACCACCCACGCATAGCCTGCTAATAGAACTGCCCTGGCCATCTTTTATGGGACTGCCATGATGCTTGTGCCTGCAGTACCCTCCATGCCACCAGATGAAACCAGAAAGACCAAAAATGACAACCATCCCCACCTTCTCCAGAATAGAGCAAAGGAAACCCAAAGAGAGAGCCAGTATTTCTTCAATGCCTTCCCTGTGGTTTCTCTTCTCCTTCCTTGGAAGGCAGCTCTGTCGCCTTCACTGAGCATTTAACTCTTGCTGATGGTGACCCACCTGACTCCCTCTCGACTCCACTAGAACCACAACTCCCAGCTGTCACGTCAGGTCTTGGAAACTAAAATGTCATCTGCTTAAAACAAATGTCATTGTAGAGAAAGTCTGGACTTGCCACCTGCCATCTTTCTCTAAGCGTCTGAAACTCTTACCTTTTCTACCAACACTAAATGTTTTAACTCATAAAGACAGTATCTTCTCAACAGTGAGTCACCATTCCACTAATTACCAGTGAAATCTGTGCAGGTACTTACAATTCCAGAGAGTGCCTTTCTCTTGATCTCTCACCATTAAAACTCAGTCCTCTTCCCTTCTCTGCCATTCAAGCAATGTAAAGACCATGCCATTTGCTTTAGAAACAAAGGCTGAAAGTCAGGTCAGCTTCCCTGGGGATGGTTGACTAAAGTTGTAGAAAATTCCTGGCATGCCAATATATATGTTAGACTCAGTAAGAGCCTCGTCTTATGAGCTGTGTTATTTTTGTTGTTGTTACTAGCAGATGGTAAAATCTCTATCATCTGTAAAGTTATTCCTTATTTCCGTGAAAATTATAAGAATCACACTCCTCAAATGTATGTCACCAAATGTATTTATTTATTTTGTATGAAAGTGGAGGCAGCCAACTGCTACAATATTATTTATTATTTATTGCAGATGCATAACATTCCCAGGAAATGAACCTTTTTAATCAACTCCCTTTAAAAGACTTATTTATTTTTAGAATTAAAAAAAAAAAAAACAGCCAATGAAAAATGTAGTAAAAACAGTTCGGATCATTTCCTTTTATTTGCTTTTAATCTATAAAATGAGGTAAGGGTAGGGTTCAGGCCAAAGCTAATTATGCTGATTAAGTAGGAATAGAATTCCAAACATGAAATTATCACCATTTCCAATTAATGTATTCTTGATCACATGGTAACAGTATGAGACTAAATAATAGTAAAACTTTTGAGTCAGATGGTTTCTCCCTTCCACTGAGCTCAAAACATTTTATACATAGGTCCCTTAATTATCCTTACAATGTCCCTTGGAGAAAGACAACGATGGTGGGTATCACTGCAGGGCTTTTTTTTTTTTTTAATTTTAAAGATTTTATTTATTTATTTGATAGAGATCACAAGTAGTCAGAGAGGCAGGCAGAGAGAGAGAGGAGGAAACAGGTTCCCTACTGAGCAGAGAGCCCCATGCGGGGCTCGATCCCAGGACTCTGCGATCATGACCCGAGCTGAAGGCAGAGGCTTTAACCCACTGAGCCGCCCCGGCACCCCCAGGGCTAACTTTTTTTAAAGATCAAGGAACTTACGGTAAGAGTTTGATCACCAAAACAATGTCACAAAGAAGTCATCATGTAGAAGGGACAGCAATGCCAATCCATGCAAGAGGAGCAACCCAGGAGCGAAAGATGGGCACACTTCCTAAAACCCTGATGTCTACAAGCCCACACTATCAATAAACAGTAAATGTGAGCCTCACAAAAGCAAAACAGGACAAATGAGACATAGGGAAGCTACTTTGCATTCAGAGAGAACTAAAAGGAGAATTCTAGAATAAAGTCTGGGTTGTTAAAAATTGTTTACAGTCCCCAAAAAACAAAAGACAAAAATCAATTTCTTTCCACAGTCCACAAGATAAAAGGATATCCTCCTAATACAGAAGAGTCGACTACAGCACAGATGAATGGCTTTAAAAATTACAGAGTCTGAAGTAATAAGCCAGCTAGGGCTGCTAGTAACACCATTTTCATCAAATCCTACCCATCCCCCAGCCTGTTCTTGTCTCTGCCCATGTAGTAATTTGCGTGTCTTGTACTTTTAAGCCCTTCTTCCCTTCACTGTCCTACACAGCCCTACTGCGGGGGACAGGTGCTGGAGCTGGTGGAGCTGCCCGCTCAACGGAGCCCAGGTTTGACCCAGAAGGCCTGGCTGGCCAAGAGGGGCTACCTTCCGCCCTCCAGCACCCATCCATGTGCAGCCTGTTTACATCTGAACATTAGCTGCCAACAAACTGCATTTCCCATGGAGGAGGCTTTCAGCCAAGGGTATATATAGCTAATTGCACCCCTTGACTAGAACCATCTAAGTGTTTTCTTCTTTAACACACACACACACACACACACACACACACACACACACACACACAAACACACACTATCCTACCTACTGGCATGTCTTCAGAGTTGAGGTCTGGAAAACAAGCCAGTTCAAGGAGGAGAGAGAGAACCACCTCTTACCGATCTTTTGGAGAAAGTTACCATGTTCTCCATGGCTAAAAACTACTCTCCCCTTCACAGAGCAGAAATACAATTCACTTCAGTCCACAATGATTTCCCGAAAGCCAAGATGTTAGAGGCAGGGGAGACAATGAGGGCTGTGAGCAGCCTTTCCTTCTGCTGAGAGGCTGTGGTTCAGGAGACAGGGAAAGAGGGAAGGGGCCCATTCTAAAAGAGCATGTTGACAGCATGTGGTTGGGGCACTGTAGAAGGGAGCACAGGGAATCCAGAGCGCTCCCTGCAAAAGACTTCATTTGTTTTGAGCTGGGTCTTGAGGAAGGGCAGGTAGAGGACACTGAAGGGAAGAAGGACGTAAAAGTACAAGACACGCCAATTACTATTAAGTGGCCTTTGAGAGTAGTTGGAGGAGGTGACCTCTGCCCTCCCCACACCAGCCCAGGTCTTTAACCAGCTGGAATTCCACACTTAAAGTATCATTTGTTTGGTTTGCTCCACTGCTACCTTTTATTGCTTCCTTACCCTAAATAAGTTTAGCTGATCCCTTCGTAGAGCAGGTTTGATTTGGAGTAAATAAATGAAGGGTGGTAGCAAGGAAGAATAAAAGACACCCTATCCCTTTCTTTACAGTTTGCATCAGGACGGGCCTTGAACATCTTGAGCACAGAGAAAACAATCTTTTCAGGCACTCACAGTCCTTGGACAAAATGCTAACCTGCCCCTGGAGTGTGCACTGGCAGCCAAAGGGGCGAACAGGAAAAAAAAGCACTAGGTGGAGAGAAGACCTTTCGCAGAAACTTTCCTGTTCTTTGGAGCAGCAACATCAACAACTGTGTGTAATTAAAGAAACTTAATCAAACACTGCAAAATTATAACAATTGCTTTATGAGTCAAACTAATTATCATCTCTTTATTTATAAAGCAAATGATAAAACATCAGTAATCCCTTCTTCAGTCAGAGAAAAGCAAGACTGTTGAAGTATATGAATTCCTTTCTTAATCTATAGACACAGCTGGGAGAATGAAAGACAGGAAGGTGGTCAGAGAGTGAGCAGATACGAGAAGCAAGTCAGACAGACACAAGGTGGGCTGGAATCACAGCTTGGTAAAGAGACAAGGATCCCCCAACCAGAGTCCTTCAATGCCCTGAATGGTTGTACATGGTGCTGGTGCTGAGGGTGAGGGGTAGGGTGAGGGGAGGGTGATGGTGGTAGGGGTGGTAATGAGGAAGGAGGTAGGGGGTGGGGGATGATGGAGGTAATGGTGGTGATGATGGGGGTGTGGGAGGGGATGAAGGGGGAGGTGGGAGTGGTGGCAGTAAGAGGGGTTGGGATGTTGAGTGGGGTTGGTAATGATGGTCATGGGGGTGGTGGTCATGGGAGTGATGGTGGTGGTAGGAGTGTTAGTGGTGGCGTGGTGGTGGTGCTGGTGAGAACAGTGGTGAGGCTGGTAGTTAAAGATCTGTTGAGGAATGAGGACTGGTCAACAGTGCATATAACAAACCCTTAAATACTGAAGAACATCACTCTGCCTGCTCACTTTTACTAGGCTTTTCTTGTAGAGTCAAGTAATTCCATTCTCACACCTCTTTACTCCGTCTTCCCCCAACAGCATTATACCACTGGCTTTGCCATCAGCTTTGTAAGTATGACCCCCAATATTATTTCTACCACAGATACCTTGGAAAGGTCAGTCCAACCTTACTTGTTTGTCTCTGATCAAAAAGGTGATGTCAATCTTAATTTCATCTTGAAATTCCCTTTGAGAGAATTTACAGATCTCTGCCTCAGTACTGCCGATCTGTTCTATAAGAATGGGAAAGGAACTGGGGGTGGTTTGTGCCAGAATCACTTGTCCTATAACACAGCTTCAGTAAAAGTAGGAAACAGAAGAAAGTCACAAAATAATGAACACCCACAGACAAATTTAGCCCACAAATATTCCAAAGAAAAATAACATTTTGGGATCATCTATAACATTGTCCCAAGCCCA